CAATCAGGATCCAAACTGCATTTCGTGGATTCTTGACTTTGTGGGTAGTCTTCTTCAAGCCCTCTCTCTCTCTCTCTCTCTCTCTCTCTCTTAATAGAGGCATGAGTTCAGCGAAGCTTTGGTAGTCACTAACAATAGCTCTATAAAGCGAATGGATTTTTATCTTTGCGGTCGACCAGCCGATTGACCAACCGGTCATCTACCCGGACGTCTAGTGTTTTGATGATTTGATGAAATACCGTTGGAGTGGCTGATATCAAACTGAGAAATTTGTCTTTTTTAAACTCAAATTTGATGAATTTTTTGATGAACCGTTGGAGATGCTCTTAAATGACATGAATGTAAATGTTCACATTAGATGACGTGAATGTAAATGTTCATATTAGATGACGTGAATGTAAATGTTCACATCAAATGACGTTGTGATAAATGTGGTATTAAGGTTCACATTAGATGAGAGAAAATGTTCACATTATTTTTAATGTATTGTTAATTAAAAATATATTCACATCAGATGAGGGAGAATGTTCACATTATTTTTAATTTATTGTCAATTAAAAATATATTCACATTATCCAATAATATAAAATAATAATATCAATATTATTTAATTTGTGTATGACATTTTTTATGCCTTGGTCCTTTCCCTTCTGTCTCTTCCTCCAAGATTAAATATTAACATTAAATATCAACATTAAATATAAAGGTATAAGAATCTAAAAAAAATAGTGTAAATGAAAAAAAAAACTTTATGGAATAAAAGTATAAATACATGGGACTAAGTGGGTAAAAAAATTTCTTCATAAAATTCTTGAACTAGAACACTTCTAAATATGATTCATCAATAAAAATCTCTATAAAAGAATAGAGAAGTAATATGATTTAAAATAAAATAAAAATTGAAAGGTCAGTCTTTTCAAAATGGGCCTTAATAAGTCATTCGAAAGTTGTCTTCAATAGGAAAAATTATTTGGTTGTATGAAATATTGCTGTACATTACTTATTTAAAGATAAGTGTTTAATTATCTCTTAAAAGGAAACCGAAAGATAATAAATCCCATTAATTTAATAAATGATAATTATGTTAGACACCACGTCATATTGGGAAATTCTTCCACACACTTAATTTAAGACGAATCATTTCACAATACACATATCTATTAATTTGATTATCGATTAATTTTGTCAATCCACACACTTAAAGTTATAATTACACCATTCGTTTATAACTATTATACACACACCACTATCCCTCTTTTCACACACTTTTGATTGATTCTACTTTCACATTGACCCACCACGGCCTTGAAAAAGACTTTGGCCTGAAGTGAAATTTCCTCCATTGAAGACTTGCATAGAAGACCTCTATTGAACCTCCATTGAAGGCCATTGTAAATCCTCCAAAATAGTGCTGAAGGTAAAAAAATCTTTTCATTTTCTTATCACATTTATCATTTTGTTATTACATTTATTATTTTCTGATCTATGTACACTTTATTGGCATAAAACCTTCGATTTCGGTCTTACGAGTGACGGTTTGGGGCTTTCAGCACTAGGTTTCCGAAAAAATAGATTAAATTCGAAACATAACTATCAAATAAATTGTATTATTTCGACAAATTACTTACAAAAAAAATCAAATATCGATTATTAGTTTCCGGGAAAAGTCTACAATGTGCACCTTCTAAAATGGCATATGATATGCACTTATTGTGTGGTTCATATTGTGCCACGTCATAAAAAGTAACTTGCTAAACAGGTCATTTAACAGGTTACATGAAAGAATCATAACGTTTTTCAAATATCATAACAATACTACAATGAATCATAACAATGTCAAAATATTCACCAAAGTATCATAACAAAGACACTATAAATCATAACAATATAATGACAACTCATAACAAATATAGTTATTTCTAATTAATTATCATAACATTTGAATCGTAACATTTTTTATTATGATTCACCATGACAAATCATAACTTTTGGTAGTACAAATCATAACTTTTACTAATGAATCATAATCATAACACCTTGATTGTAACTTTTTTACACAATCATAACGACATTAGCAAAATATCATAACTTTTACCAATAAATTATAACACAGCACGTTGATTGTAATTTTGCTCCGAAAAATCATAACAACATTAACAAAACATCATAAATTTTAAAATTTTAAACACAATTGATTGTGTAATCAATTGGTATAGCATATTGGAGTGAATGGAAAATCATAATTGATTGCAAAATCGATTGGATTGAAAGGCCACAATTGATTATACAATCGATTAGTGGCCAGAGTTTTGAACTATCACAATTGATTGTACAATCCATTGAAATATAAGGGATATTCAAATATCACAATTGATTGTAGGGATCCTTTATATAATAAACCTAATTGATTCAATAATCAATTAGTTTTCATAAGCCACACTAAACCAATTAATTCCGAACTTATTCATAGTTTCCAATACATACTGTTCTAGAATTTAAACAACCATAAGAAAACTGGTTTCACCATAAGTATTTAGACTATTGCAAATTAAAACTTAAAACTAACAAACAAAAGTAATAAAAGAAGATATTATACGGTTTTAGGTTTGAGTTTAGATTTTACATAGAATAAGAAAAGATACTATGGGGGAGGATGTATAATAAAAATATAGACTATTTGTATACGGTCCGGATCGGTTCCAATCCGGAACCGTGGGATTCAATCCGGAACCAATCCGTAAACTACGGATTTTTAATTATTCAATCCGGAACTGAACCACGGATTCAAAAAACCAATCCAAACCTATCGGATTGGACTGGACTGGATCGGATTACGGATTTCACGGATTCCTTGCTCAGCCCTAGTGGTCAGTCTTACAAATTGATTCATTACCAAGACTATCTTTGGGAAGTTGGGTTTGAAAATTTTCTAATTAAAATAGTCATAAAAAATAAAATAAATTTTTTAATTTAATAAGATAAAATATTATATTTAATCTATAATTATTACATTTGTTCTCTCATAAAAAAAGTTAATTAAATTAAAAAAAATTAAAAGCCATTCTCAAATCAAGTTTTTTAATCTCATGCTAAAATAACTAAAACTTCAGCTCACTTCTCAAACGAAGCCTAATTATTTAATAATTTTAAAGTATTATCATAATTTTTAAAATTAATTAGATAGTAAAATTTTTTTAAAATTTGTCAGGGTTCAGCTTATTTCTATGGATATATGACATTAGATTTAATGATTTATTTATTATTTTTTTGTTTTGTAGGAAGATAATAATATTATAATAAAATTATTTGATAGAAATGACAAATTGATATTTTGAAAGATTTTTTTAAAATTTTTTTTTTTGGTTCCATTGTCGCTTGATCTTTGTCGGATCACAGTTGGATAGAAAAATCAATGAAAAAATGACAAGAAAAGTCATCTGAAAAATGGTTGAAAAAAATTGTTGACGGTAGCAATTGGTGGTAATTTTGATACGAACAAATCAATAGATTAGATGGATAGATAGATAATATGTGAATAAATAGATAATGAAACGTGGACAAGTAAATGATTGTTTGGGATGTGTTATATAAATGTACTTTTTGATTTTTTTAGTTAAAAAAGCAGAAAAAAAAAGTTGTATATTTAGAATAATTTTTTGACTTTTTACAAAAAAATGTGTAATAAAATATTATAGTAGAAGCAAAATGACTATTTTATCCTTTTGACTTGACTTTTGAATTGTTGAATTTAAAGGGCAAAATTATTTCCCCCATGAGCTTTTCTCAAATAGTATGAACTTTTTAATTTTTTTAATAATTTTTAAAAATTTTAATTTTTATAGTTTATGCCGAATCAATCTTAAGTAAACAAATAAATGACGTGGGGATAGATAGGTGGGGGGACAACTAAGCAGATGTATTATGATCTTTCAAATTGATTTGTCCTTTTTAGCTATAAAGAATGGAATTTGAGACTATTACCTTAAAAATTTTAAAATCATACTTATGGCCCAATTCTCTTAAAAATTATATTGAGATTATAAATAAATATATATATTTTTTATTTCTTATTGATAACCTTAACCTCCGTCATTAGCATTATCAATTTTTAATCACAGTTTCTCTCCCGTCTAAATCGGACTAGAGAGTGTAATTGGGCCTATGTGGGTTCACAACGGAGCTCTCATCGATAATTCGAACTATGCAATGCATAAGACTCATCGAGTATTTTATTTCTGTACAAAAAAAATAAAAAAAAATTGATCGAATATCGATAGCCACTTAACGATAAGTATGATACAAATATGATCTGATCAAGTGATTATTGATATCTTATCAACTTTTTTTTTTTACAGAGATAAAATATTCAACGAACTCTACATATTGAATGGTTCGAATTATCGATGTGGGCTCCGTGGTAGGCCCAGAGGAGCATCTCCCTTTTAATAGTAATAATATTTAGCGTGTTTGGTTTCAGTTTTTTGAATTCAATTTTCTACAAATTGAGTTTTTTTTTTTTGTTTTTTTGTTTCTAATAAATATTTTTAAAATTTTAAGAATTTTTTTTTTTTACTTTTTTAGATACACTTTATGTAGATGTATATAAAAAGATTTTTTACTTTTTTACTTTTGATAATTAGTGAATTTTTTAGAGATTTTTTTTTCACGAAAATTATATTTTTTAAGTGTATTTATATTAGTTGTGTCTAAAAATTAAAAAAATTGGTTAAAATATTACAAAAATTTAGTAAAAAAAAATACAAAAAATAAGAAAATAGAATTTTCTGAAAAATATTTTTAAAAAACCCAAACTAAATTTATTTTTATAGTGAATTTATTGTTAGAAAAATTGATAACCTTGGTAGATAATAAAAAGCTACTTTTTTATTAGTAGTAAAAAATGTTGAGTGGATTCCTTCTGAGTGGATTCCTTCTTTTTTTTTAATAATAAAACATAAAATAGATAATTGTTTTTTAATAAATACTAGTCACAACCCCTCTCTCTCTCTCACTCTCTCTCTCAGAAATCTTTCCCAGCACTCTCTCTCTCACTCTCACTCTCTTTGAAGAAACCCTTAGCCTCCACGCCTGTCCTTGATTCGCAACACCACCCTTGAAGACTCGAAATTGGGGTTCACAAGAAAAGCTCATAGTGAGTTCCTTAATATTTTTTATTTTATTTATTTATTTGTAGCCATGGTTATGGCTTACATATATTTACTAAAGGGCCTATCTTAGATCTATATCCTCTTCAGGTTTAGCTTTGCTATTCTTTTATTTTTCTTCAATCATGACTGAGATTTACGTGGTTTCTTTGTTTATATTTTGGTGGCTGTCAATTCAACACTTTTCTCGTTTGTATTTTTATTTTATTTATTTAAAAAAAAAATTTGTTTGGCGATCTTCTTTTTTTTAACGATTTTTTTTTTAATTTTTAAAATCTTTTCGAAAATTATCCACTTTTTAAAGATATATATATATATTTTTTAACTTTTTTTTATTTTATTTGAGCTCAATTTGAAAAGTTTAAAATTATATAAAAATATCAGACTTTTTTAATTCAGTTGAACAAAAACTCATTTGAAATCAATTTAAAAGTTTAACGTACCAAATTTAAATAAATTTTAAAACTCATTAAAATTTTCAAACCAAAATAAAATAGTAACTGTTCAATTCATTTAACTCGTTTATCACCCTTACTCCATCAATAGACTAATTATTCTTGACTCTTGACAAATAAATCAATAAAGGGGAAGATTCTTTCCTATCCTAAAATAGAGGCACTTCTGGTGCTCCGAAGTCCAACAATGATTCATCCTTTTAATTTATGAGCACTAATTGAACACTAATGATGTGAATATTAAAAAAAAAAAGGCAGAAAAAAAAAAACTTAAGGCCAAAATATCATATCAATGAGTGGGGTCCACCCTAGAGCTCCTTTAAACCTCATAGTTTAGAACTTCCAAACATTTTTCTATTTGATTATGCGGATAGATCTTTTATAAATATATATATTTTTAATTATATTTGTTTTAAAATGGATAAATTACACTTACCTCCCTAGAGATTTCTAATAATTACAGGAACTTCCCATATAGTTTGAATAATTACAGAAACTTTCCTTATTTTTACTAAAAATATCAAGAATTTCTCAATATGTTAAGTTCGTACAACGTTACTTGGGTGTGAAAATGACTATATTACTCTTTGGTTTATACGTGAAAAGACAAAAATACTCATAAACTAAGAAGCCTTATTCATTATTAACATGAGTAAATTATACTTACATCCACTAAAGTTTTACATATATATTATTAAGACTCATAAATATTTAGTATTATTTAATAAAACCTTAAATTTATGCAATACTAAATAAAACCCTTAAATTGTTAACATATTATTAAAACATTTAATAGAAAAAAACTTAATTTTTATCGATAAAATACTTAAAAATAAACAATTTCTCTAAAATTAATGTTAGATAATATCTTAATAATTTAATATAAGACTTATTTCATACATAAACAATGTAAAATTTATCATTTTAAGTAATGCAGTTATTATTTGAATTTTTTTTAAGTTGAAATAAATGGATTTATTTTTTGGACAAATTACACTAGTCGTCCATATATTTTACCCTTTGTATCATTTTGGTTCTTACACTTTCAATTGATTCAATTTTAACCCTTAATTTTAGATTTTATTTCAATTTAGTCCAATTAATAATATTGTTAGTATTTTTTAAAGAAAATTATCAGTAAATTGGTTGAGGTTAACTAGCTGAATTGAGTAAGTTTATAATTTTGCCTTAAAAATATATCATGGGACACTTGTGTGCATATTTTCTATAAACAAAAATGTTAAGAGTTGTAATTAATTAGACCAAATTGAGATAAAATCTTAAATTCAAGATCAAAATCGAGCTAATTGAAATTCAGAGACTAAAATGACACAAGGGATAAAGTATAAGGACTACCGTCGTAATTTACGCTTTATTTTTTTTCTTAGCAATTTGCATGACTTATTTATGTATATGTAAAAAAATTATTATTTTATCTTTTCTCAATCGTATATTATTATCAAATTTGAATTTTTATTTTTGAGTTATTAAATTTTTATATATTTAACGCAAGTTAATATTTCTTACATGATTAGAAAAAATTAAGAAATAAATATAGAAGTAAATCCCTGAGGGTTTTGACAATTAAACCAAACTCATTTATAATCAACATTAATCTTAACCTTAAATGCACTAAATTTAATCTACCCTAGTAAATATATATGAAATTATTATTTATTTTCTTAATTTTTTCAAAATATGAATGTAATTTGTTGATTCTATTTTTTTTTCACAACAAGTTTTGAACTTTTGTAAACAAAAAATGAAATAAAAATTCAACCATTAATGAAGGTGAAAATTTAATTTAATAAAAATAGTTTACATGAGATAAATAAAGATGGAGAAATAAATTTGAAGTATCATAAATAACAAATTAATTTAGTATATATTTTATTATTCTCAAATAATTTATACATTCAAGTAAAAATTAATTTTAATTTTAGGTGTAAGAAATGATAAATTGTTTGAATTGTTTATTATTCTCAAATGATTTATTTATCTTTTTTATCCTTGTGAACTAATTTTAATTTATTGTGCAGCAATTATATTTTTTTTGCTTTTATATTTATTTTAATTTTTTAAAATCATTTAAGAAATATTAACTTGTGTTTTTTTAAATATACATCGACTAGAAGTTTAATGACTCAAAGTTAAAAATTAAAATTTGAGAATAATATATGATTGAGAAAAGATAAAATAATATATATATATATTTTTTACATATGAATAAATAAGTAATGCAAGTTGTTGGGAAAAAAATTAATCTATTTATTTCAACTTTAAAAAAATTAAATAATAAATGCATTACTTAAAATGATAAATTTTACGTTGTTTATGTAATGTGAAATAAATCTTATATTAAATTATTAGGATGTTATCTAATATTAATTTTAGAGAGATTGTTTATTTTAAAGTATTTTATCAATGAAAATTAAGTTTTTTTTTTTTTTCCTTCCATAAAATGCTTTAATAATGTTTTAACAATTTTAGGGTTTTATTTGATATTGCATAAAATTTAATAATTTTATTAAATAATGCTAAAAAATATATATATGAGTCTTTGATAATGTATATGCAAAATCTCAGGGGAGGTGAATAAAATTTCTCATTTGAATAGATAAGGTAACTAATGAGCTATTGCATCTTTTTTGGTATTATAACCTATGACATCAACAAATTCTATTAAATAGCCTAATAGAGGATAACAGTAGGAGAATCTTGATAATAGTTTCAAAAGTAAGAGAGGTTAGTATAATTATTGAAATTATAGGAGAGCTTTAGAAACTTCAGGGGAGGTTAGTGTAATTTGCCTTTTTAAAAAAAATAGACAGTAAAGATTAATTTTAAAATAATCTCTCTTTTTTTTTTTAAAGAAAAATATGATAATATCGTGACCTATATTTATTGAATCAATGTAATTATACATTTTGTGGTTCAAAATTTCTATGAAAAATGTGTAATATTGCTATAAACTACATAACTTTATTTCTGAAATACTAATTATAATAATTTTATTATAAGATTACGTAACAGTTATCAAGAAAAATATGTAATATGAATCACAAAAATACATAATAATGTGCGTATAATATATTCATTTTATTAGTGTGCATAGAAGCAATTTCTATGAATTGGGCAGAAATCCATCCCATTAATCTAAAGAGTTAACAAATAAATTAAAAAAACTAAGCATTTCGTAAACCATTTAACATGGTGATCTAATCAGCTGACACTAACAAATGCTAGCATATCGTAGGCACTGCTTGGTCTAATTGGCGATTTCTCAGTAGTATTACATTGCTTCGCTTGTTATCTACTTCAGAGGGCTCCCTTTGTGCTTGCTGTGCTACTTCTCAAATCCAAGGTACCAAAGCAAAAATAAAAAATTTCAATTTACTTGACTTGCCATTCTGTTTTATTCTATTACAACTACTTTGCTTCGACCTGCCCTTTTTGGATTTTCACTTTGTATTGTTTCTTAATTTCTCTTAGATTTTCATTTTTTTTTCCTGATAAATATAAAATATATATACAAGCAATGAGAAGAAAATGAATAGATGTTTGTGTAATTTTCTTTTTATTTATTTATTTATTATTATTATTATTTTGGGTTCTCTTAAAATGAATTTGGTGAAAACAGTAGCTTTTTTGGCTCCAACGGTTTCATCAAACTGATATCAAAATGAGAATTACTCAAACATTTCACCAAACTGAGGACAAACTCTATATTTCAGCATTTCACTATTCTGGACTGTTGGAGGAGACCAACCGGTCAACCAATCGGTTGCCCAGTCGGTTGACCAACCAGTCGACCGGTTCCCTTTTAAATTGGTAGGTTCAAACAGGTCAAAAGGTTCAAACTGGTTAAAAAAAAAAATTGTTCTAACCGATCGATCGGCTGGTTGACCACTCCCTTTGATGCACGGTTGGAACAAGCGGTATCAAATTGAGAAAATTGATATTTTTTTACTCAAATTTAGTGAAAATTTTGAGTAACCGTTGGAGATACTCTTACCCATGGAATTGGATATCTAGTCTCTACTCTTTTCTGCACATGGGGCACTGTCTTTTTAAATTGATAAAGACACAGCAGGTAATAAACATTTTTGGACAATGGTTTAACTTTTCTCAATCATCTCAATTTGATAGAGCATTTAGATTTAGTAGGCTTATTTTAAAATCAATTTTGATAATTCGAACGTTTACTTTTTAAGAATCGTTGAGTAGAATATTCATGCAAAAAAATTAAAATGATCAAATTTTGGTAGCTAGATATTTGAATCAAATTTGTATTATAAAAAATAAATGACTACTTTTAAAAGGGACATTTACATACAAGTTTTAATTTATGAACTTATACTCCATTAAATCCTAACTAAGATTTTTTGGACGTTATAGTCCTATTAAAATTTTAATATTTGAATTGGCCTTCAAATAATGATTGTTCATCATTTATGATCATTTATAAAGGAACATGATGATTTGACATTTTTTTTAATATTTTTCAAAACTTTAAAATATCAACTTTAAAATTGAAAAAACTAAAAAAACTAAATAAATAAATTTTTTTTTGAAAAAATTGAATTATCTTTTTTGTGCAAAACTGAAAATTTTGTATCTATAAAGGAATATGATGATTGAACATTGATCTAAGTAGTTAACAAATAAATTAAAAAAACTAAGCATTTCGTAAACCATTTAACACGGTCATCATTTAATTAACTGACACTAACAAATATTTTAACTTGTCCATCAGAAATGCTAGCATATAGGTGGGCACTGTTTGGTCCAATTGGCGATTGCTCAGTAGTATTACATTGCTTCGTTTGTCATCTACTTCAGAGGGCTTCCCTGTTGTGCTTGCTGTACTGCTTCTCAAATCCAAGGTACTAAAACAAAAATAAAAATTTTCAATTTACTTGACTTAACCATTGTGTTTTATTCTATTGCAACTACGTTGCTTCGACCTGACCCTGTTGGATTTTCACTTTGTATTGCTTCTTAATTTCTCTTGGATTTTCATTTTTTTCTGATAAATATAAAATATATATACAAGCAATGAGAAGAAACTGAATAGATGTGTAATTTTCTTTTTATTTATTTATTTATTATTATTATTATTTTGGGTTCTCTTACCATGGAATTGGATATCTAGTCTATACTCTTTTCTGCACATGGGGCACTGTCTTTTTAAATTGATAAAGACACAGCAGGTAAAACATTTTTGGACAATGGTTTAACTTTTCTCAATCATCTCAATTTAATAGAGTACTTAGATTTAGTAGGTTTATTTTAAAATTAATTTTGACAATTCGGACGTTTACTTTTTAAGAATCGTTGAGTAAAATATTCATGTAAAAAAATCAAGATATCAAATTTTGGTGGCTAGATATTTGAATTAAATTTATATTACAAAAATTGAATGACTATTTTTAAAAGGAATATTTACATACAAGTTCTAATTTATGAACTTATACTCCATTAAATCTTAACTAAAATTTTTTGAACCTCCAAGTCGTATTAAAATTTTAATAGTCTAAATTGCCCTTCAAATAATGATTGTTCATCATTTATGATCATTTATAAAGGAACATGATGATTTGACATTTTTTTTATATTTTTCAAAATTGTAAAATATCAACTTTCAAATTAAAAAAAATTTAAAAAAACTAAATAAATAATTCTTTTTTGAAAAAATTGAATTATTTTTTTGTGCAAAACTGAAAATTTTGTGTCTATAAAGGAATATGGTGATGGAACATTGATGTGCAAAAAAAAAATTTTAAAATGAAAAAACTGATAATGTTCTCAGCTTTAAAATTAGAAAATCCATTAAATCCTAACTAAGATTTTTTGGACCTTTAAGTCCTATTAAAATTTTAATAGTCTGAATTGTCCTTCAAATAATTATTGTTCATCATTTATGATCATTTATAAAGGAACATGATGATTTGACATTTTTTTTTTTTATATTTTTCAAAACTTTAAAATATCAACTTTCAAATTGAAAAAACTAAAAAACTAAATAAATAATTTTTTTTTGAAAAAATTGAATTATTTTTTTTTTTTTTTTTTTGCTAGACTGAAAATTTTGTGTCTATAAAGGAATAAGATGATGGAACATTGATGTGTAAAAAAAAAAAAAAATTAAAAATGAAAAAACTAATAATGTTCTTAGTTTTAAAATTAGAAAAAGCTAATGATGTTCTCGATTTTATTAGATAGTTGAATCAAACCAATAACTAGAAGCACAAAAACGTTTAATTTCATGTTCTGTTTTTTTTCATCAGTTAGTGGAACAATTATCTAGAACATTATTATGGAAAATTGATAATGTTCTTAGTTTTAAAAATTGCGAAAAACTAATAATATTCTTAGTTTTACTAAATAGGATTTATTGGTTCAAAAAATCTTAGGTAGGACTTGAGCTACCATAACATTTATAAATAGGACTTTTGGGTAATTAATTCTTTTAAAATTATATTTGTCGTTCATTTTTTAAAAACAAATATGATTCGAATATTGTCACGACCCAAACCCGGCCCTATGGGTTTAGCACCGTAACCGGCCAGTAATCCGAGATTACCGAAGGCCTACTTAACAGTAATACAGTAAAACAAAGTACAGGGCCTGGCGGAAGCCAATACAGTAATTAAACAATGTCCAATGAGCTGTGACAGTCTGTATGCAAAAGATTTTCCATGCATTCATACATAAACAGTACAGAACAGTATGTACAATACTTACATCCATTCAAACTAGGGACTCAACCCTACATAACAGTACAGAAAACATTCCGTCTGTACAAAACAGTACGGTCTATACAAAATTTACAGTCACACAGAACAACAGAAAGGGACTAATCTTGATAAAGTAGGTAACAGTCAGTCTATACAGATACAGTTTAGACAGTAATTGAGACAGGCGGGGGGAAAACAACAAAAACCCCAGCATCGCATGGCATTCGGAACCTCGGAGTGAGGCACAAAGGCGGACTTGACAAAACGGAGTTACCCCTGAGTCCTAGTCCGATTGGTGCCTGTACACTACATATATATATAGCAGTGAGTAAGCCAAGGATACATAAGCGTAAAGGGGTTTAGAATGAATGTCTTACATGTAATGAAAAAGTTCAATTCAATTCAGTATTCAGTTATTCAGTCAGCGTAAACAGTCATATGTGGGTACATCATTAGCATAACGTAACAGTAGGGTCCTTAAAGACCGAACGTTAATGTGGCCATCAGTCAGTAAACAGTAGTGGCTCCACGAGGGAACGCAGAGAATTCTGTCGCAGTAACAGTAACAGTAAACAGTAAGTACTAAGGGATGCCACAGATACAGTTAGGAAATAAAGGACATACATTCATTCAGTAATAATACCAGTTAGTACCAGGTTCAGTTAGTATTCAAAAGATAATCAGTTGAACATATCTTTACATGACAATGTTACTCAACAGGTCTGGGCTACAGTATGTTAGAGCGTGTCTCCCAGTTGCAACGCCTACACGTTCACAGGTTGAACACACCTAAGCTACACAGTTGGGAAATATTCATAACTTATCACTAATTGCCTTGGTGTGTTCTACAACGATATCCGATTAATGTTAAACTAGGCCTAAGAATCCTACGGGTGGGTGAGGATGCAAAATGCACATTTAACAAGCATTTTCAGAAAAAACAGAGTCCGTCGAGCGCACGTTTCCCCGCTCGAGCGTCATAGCAACAAAGGTTACACGCTGAGCTAAACTTCCCTGTCGAGCGTACTGTAAAAGTAGCTGGATGGGTGAAATCTCCCGCATCGACGCCCGCTCGAGGCTTGAGAACAAGACTTCCGCTGAGCGCGAATCTCAGCTCGAGCGGACTGTAAACAGTGGCAGAGAGATGCTAGGTGCTTGGATTCAACGCTGCAGCGGCACTTCCGCTCGAGCGGAGTGCGGAAATCTGGAAAACCAGATTTTGTCACTCAAGCTCCAAAACCAAGTTCAAAGCTCAAAACTCGATCTCTTGGGTAAATTTCCACGAAAAACTGTAACTCATAGTTAAACATGATTCAAAACTCATTTAAGCCAAGGGTGTTTTTATTTCAAACCAATTTAAACATTTTCCAAGGGACAATCCTCAAACATGACATGCATGATTTAAACATTTTCCAAAAGCTTTAATGTGTTTAAAAGAACTCAAGCTTAAAAACACAGATGAACTCTGGAGTATGACCAAAAGATTGGCATGCATGTGAGGTTGGTAGTTCATAACTACTACATGGATGTCCATCTTTTGGTTACTCATGAGTTCATCTGTTTTTGTAAGGCTTGAGTTCTTTTGAACAGCATTAAGTTTGAAAATGGATTTAAAGAATCATGCTGTTCATGTTTGAGGATTGTCCTTTGAAATGTTTGAAATTGGGTTTGAATAAAACACCCTTGGGCTTTTAAATTTTTGAGTTTTGAATCATGTTTACTATGAGTTTCCATGTGTATTTTGGAAATGATTTAGCCCAAGAGGTCGAGTTTTGATGCTTTTGAACTTGGTATTTTGGAGCTGGAGGTTGCAATCTGGGTTTTCCAGATTTCGCACTGTCCGTCGAGCGGGGAAGTGCGCCGAAGCGTGGAATCACACGCATAGCATCTCTCTTGCCTGTTTTACAGTCCGCTCGGCGAGGATTGGGGGCGCTCGAGCGGAGTCTTGTCTAGCTCGAGCGGCGTCGAGCGGAATTTCCCCATCCAGTATTTTACAGTAGCGCTCGAGCGGGAGTTTACGCTCGAGCGTGTACCTTTGTTGCATGACGCTCGAGCGGGGAAACGTGCGCTCGAGCGGGACTCTGTTTTTTTCTTGAAAATGCTGTTTAAATGTGCATTTTGCATCTCTCATCCATCCTAGTAATTCTTGCCTAGTTTAAGCATTTAATGAGGTCTGTTGTAGAACACACCAAGCAATTTTAGGATTAAGTATGATATTTCGCATGTGTAGCTAGTGTGTGGTTCAACTGTGAACTGTGTAGGGTTGGCAACTGGGGGAGACACGCTCTAGCATACTGTAGCCAATCTGTGAGTAACAATTGTGTAAAGATATGTCACTGATTATCTTTTGAATACTGAACTGAACTGTGTACTGAACTGGTATTATTAACTGAATGAATGTATGTCCTTTATTTCTGAACTTACTGTGGCATCCTTATATTACTGTTTTACTGTTACTGTATACTGTCGACAGAATTCTCTTTCGGTTCCCTCGTGGCACTACTGTTTACTGACTGATGCCATCATTACTGTTCGGTTTTAAGGAGCTATGTACGGTTATTAATGGATGTACCACATTATGACTGTTTACTGTAGCTGAAATTGAAGTACTGATTGGAGATTGAACTGTTTCTATTACTGGTAAGGCATTCATTCTAACCCCTTTACGTTTATGTATTCACTGGGCTTTAGCTCACTGCTTATACTAATATGTAGTGTAAGCACCAGATCGGACTAGGAGCGTCAGGGTAACTCAAGTTTTTGTCAAGCAGCTTTGTGCCTCACTGCGAGGTTCGAGTTGCCATGCTATGCTTGGGGTGTTTTGTTTGTTTTCCCCGCTGTCTCTATCTGTCTAACTGTTCTGTATAGACTGAACTGTTTCCGTACTGTATCAGGATTAGTCCTTCGTGTACTGTAAATTTTGTAAGACCGTACTGTTTTTGTACAACGGAATGTTTTCTGTACTGTATGTAGGTTCGAGTCCTAGTTTGAATGGATGTAAGTTTGTACATACTGTTCTGTACTTTTATGTATGAATGCATGTGAAATCTGTTGGCATACAGACTGTACAGCTCATTGGACATTGTTTAATTACTGTATTTGGTTCGCCAGGCCGCATTTATCTGTTTTACTGTTATTACTGTAAG